CTTTTTACATATAAATTTTAAATAAAAATTTAATAATTTCTATGAATAGTAATTAAAATTTTTTATTTTTATCTATAGTTATTGTTAAGTTTTTTTATTGATAAAAATTTTTAATTATTTTTTATATAAGTTATTAAATTTTTATCTAAAATTTATATTTTAAAAATTAAAAAATCAAATTATATCTATTAAAAATAAATGAAAGAAATATATTTATAAAGTAAAAAATATGAATTCGAGTAATACAATATATGGATGAGGAAGATTAAAAAATAAAAAGAGTTTACATTTACGTAATGAGAAAAAAAAAAAAAAAGAGTCACTAAACGATGCCGTTTCATATCCTGTGGGGGAGCCTGGGCTTGTACCACCCAAAAATCACGATTCATGGTCTGAACGCGTTAAACGGAAAACGAGGCAGCGCCGTCCGATTTAAAGGTTAACGATAATGTGTTTGAGTTAGTCAATGTAAGGTCCCGACCACTTAATCTTGACAGGTCGGAGAGAGAAAGCGTAGTGGATAGACTAGATTTTCTTTTTCGCACGGACAACCCGGAAACAGGAAGACTTGTCGGCTTCGGAAGGGGGGTTTGCAGTTTCTGGCCCTTGATTGCTGGTGGAGGAGAAGAAGAAGGAGGAGGAGGCCATGGTGGGCTCCAGAATTACTGATCATGATCGTCTAGTGGATGGTGGTAAAGGTGGTTTTCCGGCACCTCCGGCTTCTGGGGTTTCATGCTCGATTTGCCTTGATATTGTTTCAGATAATGGGGGTAGATCCTGGGCTAAGCTCCAATGCGGCCATGAATTCCATCTGGGTATGCGTTTTTATTTTTATTTTTATTTTGTTAAGTTGAATGATCCATCCGGATTGTCTCAATTTTCTTAACTTTTCTCTTTTTTAATCTGATCCTAATTAGCTACATATGAATTTTTAATTTTGTTAGATGTTCAGGAGATCACTTGATAAATGTTTGGATTGTGGATAATTAAGTCAAACCGATGAACATCATTTATAGACTAAAGCTTAGATCAAGTTTATTTCCTCACTTAATGTTCATTACTATAGTATGTTCAAGCTGATTGCTTTGAATTTACATAATAGAAGCTAAATGCTTATATAAATGAGATATGAATCCCTCGGTAAGATGTAGGGAACATGGTTGTCGGCAAAAGATTAGAAATTGAAGATCTAGGGAACAAGGTAGTGGTAATTCACTAATATGAGAATTAGATTTGCTAATGTATTTACTTTTTCCCTTGAAAGGAAGCCAGAGACCTACATTACCGAAGTTTTTAGGTGTAGTTATTTCTCTTGGCTCCTTCTAAGTCTTAGATGCTGTATTTGTGTCCGTAACTTCCAAACATGAGAAAAAGCAGATGATCTCTAAAATTAGAGTTTGTAATTGTTGCCAACACATATTTGAACATACCAATAAAAAAATGCATTGTTTGGTTGTTTCATACTTTTAGAGGGGAGGGTGAGCAATATAATTTGCTTGACTATCATATCTTGTTGCTTTGCGTGTTTATGTATGTATCTTGAATTATTGACTTTTATCATACTGAGGGCAGCTTCATCTGTGGGGTAATTGGATCTTAAAATTGGCTTCTGCTGTTTACCCTTTATCATAACATTTTAACAGTTATTTTTTTGGGGTTTTTTGTTGATTTATAACTTAAATATTGTACAAATTTGGTTGGTGATTGGCATGAATTTTTTTTTCCTGGATTATATGGGTTTCTTTCCTTTTTCAAGAGCAAATTTGTATTGATTGCTGGTTGCAAAATAACTTTCTTATCAGCTTGAACAGCCAAATGCTTTTGTCAGAGAACTGAGAACTCTTTTTTCTTGTAGAAAAAATTTATTTCTTGTTTGTTATGTTTGCATCAGTTCTGAAGTTGAAGTTTTATAAATCCTTTGATTTTTTTTCTTTGGTTGAATGCTAAGTCCAATAAAGATATACCCGTGCATCTGTGCATGCAGCTATGCCTTTGTAAAGAAATACATATCAGAACCAGATATTGATACTGCAAAGACACATGTTGTTAATATTTCCTTTTGAATCATTAATTTATTATTTTATTTCAACTGGAAACTGCTACTTCCTGTATCCATGCTCAAAAATGAGAAAAATATAATTTCAACTTTCATTTATAGTATCAACTTAAGCATGCACTTAATTGGTGTATGTAGTGTGTTCACGTTCACTTCTGGGATTGTTGCCCAATAGCAAAGGTGCATTCTCCATTTCCTTAGGAGATTGGTTCCAATCCCGCCTCCCCTGATTATCAAAAAAAAATAGTAGTCATGTTCTTACTTTTTTGTCGATTCATGATTATTGGCTTCTATTTATGTATTGCTTATGATGCAGATTGCATTGGTTCGGCATTTAATGTGAAAGGAGCTATGCAATGCCCCAATTGCCGCAAGGTTGAAAAGGGTCAATGGCTGTATGCTAATGGATGTACCCGTTCATTTCCTGAGTTCGGCATGGATGACTGGTATCCTGATGAGGATTACTATGATTTTTATTCTGAAATGGTAAACAAAATTTTTTGTGTTTTCTGATTGTCTGTCAATGTGATTTACTATTTCAAACCTACATCCCCTAGCTTGTGCAATTTGGTATGTAAACAATTTGAAGTCTTCTTTTTTTTTTTTATCATTGTGTGTTTGTGTGTGCGTGTTCGTGTTCGTGTGTGGTGTTTTTGAACTCTGAAAAGCCACATAGCTTTCTGCTGATTTAGATGTCTGTTCTAGGGCACATCTAAAATCATAAACTGTGAAAGTTTGGTTATCAAGCATGCTGCTTGGATAATGATGTCATCATTTTTTGTTCCAATCTTTATGATCTTTATTTGTGACATTCACAAGTTTGAAATATAGGCCTAACAATTCAAAGAAGGAAAAGAAAAAAAGAATATGAAATTAATCAGATGTTTTCTTTTTTCATCATAGTAATTTATGTGGACTTTTTTTCTTTTTTTTTTTCTTTTTTTTTTGTGGATTCTTACACTTAAATTCAGAGACTAATGTAGGGCTCTCAATAAAGACTATTTTCAATGGGAGCCTAGGATGAATGTGGAGTGTTCCCTCGTGAATCCATTTTACATAGGCTATACATTTTTCAAATTCATAACTTTTTAAAGAGAATCAGGAAGATTTCAAAGTTGCAAAAACTTGTCCGTTCATGATATTTGAGATAATATTTCTCATCACATAAAAATTCTTTTCTTCTTTTCAGCCATTTAGATTTCATTGGTGTCCATTTGGTGAATTGACAACAATTCATTCGGCATTTGAGTAAGCGTGATCTCTCCTTTTGTGGTTTTAATTGTGTTTTGAACTGTCACATCTACTTATCTACATGTAGTATTTATTAGATTTTCATCTCTTTTGAGCATTGAAAGAAAGTTTTGCTCACTATCCAACCTACATTGTTCAAGGATCTCATAGTAAGTTTTTTTTATTTTTTGCCATGACCTCATAATAAACCTAGTAACCTTATTGTTAAATATTTACATATTTGAGCTTGTTTGTTTCATTGAAAATGTTTGGCAGTTCCTTTCAATCCGTAACAACACCGGTGCTATTTCTGACATGCTGGTTCTTAATTGTATCTTTCAGGGAAGTGGAATCTCCATCGACCACATGTAAGTGTTCCGATAAATAATTTGTAGTTTTCTCTGATGAGTACTAGGGATGGCAATGGTGCGGGGACCCCATCCCTATCCCTGTCCCTACCAATGGTGGGTACGAGGATCCCACAGGGATTTTTTATTAGGGGTAAAAAAATACCCTCCGTCTCCATCTCCGTGAGGAATGGTAGGTCCCCATTGGTATGTGGATTCCCTACCAAATATTAAAATTGTAGAATTTAACCTCTTTTTTTTTTTCCGACAAAACCCCCAAATCAACAGATCCAGCTTTTAAAAAAATGCAGGAACAAATTACTCTTTTAAATTATAAATTGAGACAAATCACGTATTTTTTAACATGTGACATTAATTTTTCGTTAAAAAATACTTATATGGTAAACAGAATTTTGATGTCAAACTTTAAAAAATGAGTAATTTGTCTCAATTCATAATTTAGAGGGATAATTGGTTTCTATATTTTTTTGAGAGGTGAATTTGTTCTATCCCTATTTAAGGGGTGGATTTGGGGATTTTGCTATTTTTTTTCTAGTAAATAAATTTTATAACATTACATAAAGAGTAATTCATGGGGTATAAAAATAAAAACCTGCATAAATGTAAAGCATGCAAGAAAATTCACAAACATCATAAAAAAAGCACTACATAAAGAAATACGAAGAGTAGAAATTTGAAACAAGCAAATGCATACAACGAACTAGAAAATGCATACAATCCAATAAATCCATAAAAAACAACATAAAGACAGTAGAAATTTGTACAAATTGGGTTTTATGTTTTTGTAAATATATTATAATTTATAAAAATTTAAATCTAAATTAGGTTCAGTAAAAAATTAATTGGGTTTTATGTTTTTATAGATATATTATAATTTATAAAAATATAAATCATATATTTTTTTATTATATACGGATTCATGTGGGGGCTTGTGGGGCAGAGGAAATTTCGTGAGGAAATAATTGCCTCTATCCTTGCCCCGTGGGGAGAAATATTCTCCGAATCTCCACTCAAGCGACGAGGATCCCCACGGAGCTCTGCAGGTTTCGGAGCAAATTGCCATCCTTATTGATGATTCAATGAGAGAATTTCATAACAAAGGATCTAATTTCATCGCAATGTAGATCATGAACTACAGGGACACCGTGCCATATTTTCTGAACACTCTACTTCGTCTCCTGTGGCTCGTTCATACGTTGCATATGTTGGACCTCTTCCACCCACATCTTTGAGAGCCAGTGATGGTGTTGATGATCTTAACTTCAATCATCATTGGAACAACCTCTCCGGACGCAATGAGATTTTTGCTCCACATGCTTTTCCTGCCATTAATATCCACTATCATAGTTGGGGCAGTCATTCCCCCACTATCTCTATATCTGGTGGCCATGTTCAGAGTGTTGATCCAGCTTCCATTCCACCTGGACTATTGAGAACTTCTCAGGGGGAACTTGATGCTACAACTAGATTGAGATCATTTCCACATCCTCTCCCTTTTGAGCATGGGTAAGCTGCCAGCTACAGTAAACTTGGTAAAGTTGGAAACTGCATTTTTCTTCTATTTTCACGGATTATTTTTTGGTCTTATCATGTGTTCTGTTGACTATTAAAATATTAAATGCTTGTTTACTCTTCATAGGTCCAATTCCAGAGCAGGGAGCTCTTTTGTCTCTGCAATTATCCCTCGTCATCCAGGAGGCAGTGAAAGGATTCAGGTATCACATTCTTTGCACCATCAACAGCAACCAACAAATCAACCAGGCTTGCCTACTCCTTTAGTTCCTGCTGCCAGAAGAGGCTTGCCAACATTAGTGCCAACGCTCTCACCACCCAATCATCATAATGGTGGGTTATATATCTTCCCTCCACCAAGTTCATCAGGCCATGGCCCGCTTGAAGCAGAAAATCCATTGCCTAGTCATTTTCATGCATGGGAACAACGGCATTTATCTCATTTCTCAATCACATCAAGAGGCTCAGGTTGGGGATTGTATCATTCTACTGGAGCCTCCGATTCCAGCAATCTGTCTGGCAGCTTTCGGCATAGGCCCTTCTCCTAGATGTTTCGTTACAAGCTTCAGTCTGAACAGGATTCTAAACCATCCCCACTTGTGGAAAGCTTTGGAATCATTGAATCTGAACTTATAAATGGCAAAAAAGTAAGGTGTGAAACTGAAAAATGATAAATAATGTCCATTTTTTTCTTTTTGTAAGTTTCAGTGAACTAAACCTTAAGACGTCAAGGTTCTTTGTTAATCATGTGGCGCATGTACCCAAAAACATGTGGCACCGTGAAGGTGCGTATTTTGTCAAACATGTTTCTGGTTGTTAAAATTTCTGAAGTACAGTTGAGGATGTCAGACTAAGATTCAAAGGACAGATTCATTTGTCTTTGCTAATACATGATTAAGAACCGTACTTATGTCAAATCCAGCTGCTAGCAAAGAACAAAACAATAACGCAACCGAGGATGATTAGGAAAGGATTGGAATTTAGTATTCATTGGGCTAAGTAACCTTACCAATTAGTGAGTTTCTCTGTGTTTTCCCAGTAAGGACAAAGGTGATGGCTCTAAATGGGTAGAGGAGAGGGCTAAGTGCCCTTGTGGTGTAAAGCTCACGCATGCAAATACTACTTTAGCCTTCTTGCCTGAAATCTTACGTAGTCAAAGACTTAAAAGTGACGGGTATTGAATACTCCTTGAATTGTCTTCCTCTTTCATCCAAACAAAATGGGATTCAAGAATTAAAGGGTGAGACTGATGTTTTGAGGTCTATTGCGTGTTGGCTCTTGATTGAGTGGCAATTATTTCTATTAAAGAATTATATTGTAGAATTATGTAAAAATAATTATACATCTCTTTAACTAAAAAGATAATAATATAGTTATAATGCTATATAAGATTGTAAATTTATCATATGTCATTAAGTAAGTAAATACATATAAAATTACAAGTAAACTTCCAAATGAAAAAAAATCAATTATATAATCACATATTATGATTATAACTTCTAAAAATTTCAAGTTTTCTTTTCATTTATAAAACCCCAAAACAAAAAGCAAGATAAAAATGAGACATGATCAAATGCTAGCTCAACAACTTCAGGCATTCTAAGTTTAGAAAAAGCAAGATACTACCAGCCAAAGTCCAAAACAGCATACTAAAAGAAGTTGAAGTAAACTGTCTTCAACACAAAATCTGTATCTAATAATCGAAAGCAGAGCTCATATATTTATACCTTCATGGAAATTTCCTTCATGGAAATTTAAGTTGTAAGCTGCATGAATCCAATCACATTTGGATATAAGTAATTGCAGCCTAAAACACAATTATCATATGGAATAGATCTAGCATTCTTGGTTCTTTACCTAAATCTTGAATAATCTCTCCTATCTGTCACTTGACAACATCTCACACTGGAGATTGCTTGAAGCCATTCACAACATGCATTCTGGCAAACAGAAAACTCAAAATTTTGAACCCTAAGAAAGGATCTATCGTCAGCTACAAATGATATTTCAAGTTGCTTATGTCATAAAGAAAAGACCCATGAAATAGTTCCCAAGAATTTGTCAATCATTATTAAACTAGTAATGATAGCAACTAGGAATGAGGTCTAAATCAAAGCTGCTTAACACAACATAGCAAATCCCATCTCAAATGTGAAGTCAAATTTGAAAATGATTTCAATATTTTCATTCATTACCAGTTTCTCTAAAAGAGATTCCAATTATGGGTTTTCAGGCATCTTCAGTACTGCATTTGCCATAATCAAATGAGCGGTGGAATACATACTTCCAATTAAAATTTCTTAAATTTACAATTTGAAGCTTGAAGTTCAACACTTCACCCAAAGGATGTCAATCCAAGGCAAACGGTATGTATCTTTTATGGTGTTCTCTTCTATCTCATTATCTATGTATCATGATCTACTAACAAGAAGATAAATATCATATCCTTCTCTAAATATTTTCTTTTATACGAAGACAGAGATACTTTCCAATCCTGTAGAAGTATTCAAAAGTTTCATTTTTAAAGTTCTATCAAGAAAAATTGAATCATTGAACCAATGACAGGCATATCATCTCCCTTGATCATCTAAATTTTAATGTCAGTGAAAATAATCAAAACTCAGATACTGGCCATCAGCACTCCACAAAGTATATCAGCACATATTATTTTCACAAACAGTGCAAGATCAAATGAAAACAATACCAAGCTCATCATTTTCAATTAAAGGACAATATTTCATTGTTAAAGCCTAAACCCAATACAGGAAACAGGATAATTGAAACAACAATAACAACAACAGACATGACAATATGGCAGTTTCACGTAAACCTAAATAAATAGATCCCAACTTCTTCACCAATTAAGCATCAATGAGCAATTAAGGAACTTACTAACTAAAGGAACGTTTCAATTATATAGGGGCCAATCTGTCCAGGCACCAGAGACGTGCCCATTCTCACAGACATAAGCTCGAACAACTGGCTCCCCATCATCATGGTACCCAAAAACCCGCTTCAAACAGAACGCAGAATGCAAATCCCAAGTCTCCTTGCACGAGCAGAAGGCGCAATTCAGATCGATTTTGCTACGATTCCCGTCGTTTATTGTCCTCCAGACACGAGAACTCTTGAAATCCTTGAAGATCCCCCTGAATAGCATGTAATTCCGCCTCTCCTCCACATGTACGCACCCGGGCCAATCACAGATGTACAAGCAATCCCCTCGGAACCTGCTCGCCAGCAACTTGTTTCCCTGCTCCCTGCTTAAATTCCAAACCCCTTCCGTCGAATGCGACCCGAGAGATCTAAAGATCTTTCTCCTCTTACAAACGGAAAATTCACTCCCTATCTTGACTGCCTCCTTCTCAATTACCTTCTCGGATATACCATCTTGCGATTCAGATGCGTTACAGACGGTATCGAAATATAGATCATCGAAAAGCGACCAGGAACAATCAGACGCAGGAGCACCCACTTCCAGATCTCTTTCATTCTTGCTGGAACAAGGTTCGATGGGTGGTTTTGAATCCTGAGCAATAGACGTCTTTTGATAATTCTCGTCGGGTCCAAGCTCGCGCTCGAGGCCAAAATCAGAGTGTTCAAGGAGAACGCCGGAGTGGAGAAGACCCGGGCAGCAGATGGCCAGCTTGTGAAGAGCAGCCCACCCACCAGGCGGGGCGGAGGAAGCGTGGAGGAGATCGGCACAAACCGCGGGAATCTCTTTGAAGCATTTTTGCTTCCAGCAGATGTTGCGGATCAGAGAGGAGAATTTGGTGCAGACGCAGGCGAGGCGAGCCCAATTTTTGGGCTCATCTTCAAGTTTGAAGAAGATATTCAGGACGACATCGTCGGAAATATTAGAGAAGGCAGCGTCCGTCATTGCGGCTAGGAGGCGGAAATGGAAATTGGAAAGTAAGCTACCGATTTAGGGGGGCCTTGGATTCTGTCTTATATTATGGAAAACAGCTTTGATATTTTTGGATTTTCTCCTGACTCTTTGCCGGTAATGCAAACTGACTGCGCCGCCGCATAGGATTCCGGTGGGCTGCGTCGATCGGAATTTCCGTTTCGGACTCGGGTGGGGTTGCGTGTCGGATTGGTCTTTCTCAATTATTTATTTTCAGCATGATCCGTATTACCACTGCGGGTGATGTAAAGCCGAACACCAACTTTTTCATTACCTTTATTTTTTAATTTTAATAATTTTTAATTTTTTAATGATTAATTATGATATTTTAAAATATTAATTAATTTATTTTAACTTTAAAATAAAATAAATAAATTAATTAATAACTTAACGAGTATTAGTGGTGGCAATCACCATTGCCTACCACTGCCCACCTGGGCGCTCCATAAAAATATAGTGATTTTAATTATCTATATTTAAAAATATAAATGGTTATAGAAAAAATATTTTCCAATTTGAATTGTTTTACAGTGTAAATATTAATAGAGGAAAGGTCTCTTAATATTGTGAGGCTTTTATCAATTACTTAAATA